CTGCTGAACTGGGGCCGGGCTGGGCAGAGCCATGCCCAGAGGAAGGAAAGGCCGTCCTCCCTGCTGTGTGCCCCACGCAGCGGCCCCTCTCGGGCCACTTTGTCTCGGAACATGGAACTGGGCGTTTTCTGATGCCGTGAGGCTCCTGCCCTGCTGGGATGCCCGAGGATGGGCTTCCCCGACCAGCCGTCCTCGGGCACGCGCCTCTGCCTCTGGTGTCTGCACAGCCTGGCCTCTCTTGTATGAACCGCCATCCCGGGCGTCCCCCGATGCCTGGGTTAGTTCCCATCTGGGTCTAGGCAGGAAGGGAAACGCCTGCCGCCCTGCCCTGACCCCGTCCTTCCCACAGGATCGTGCTCATCTGCGCCAAGCGGTCCCTGTGTGCGGCCTTCTCGGTCCTGCCCTATGGAGAAGGCCTGCGTGTCAGGTGAGTGGCTGGTCCCCGCCGGCTGGGGGCTCCACACCGTCGCAGCCTCACATGGGGCCAGCAGACCAGCTTCTGCCGAAGCTGCTTGAGAGCTCGAAGGCCGTTTGGGTCCTAGTCCTCGGGGAGGGGCGCATCCGCACCGTTATCCAGTTTGAGCTGCTAAACATCGGTGCCTGGGATGTTCCTCCTGGCGGGACACTGCTGTGCATCCCGTGACCAGTCCAGGCAGCTGTGCCCAGCGCATAGCCCCGGAAAGAGGGAGATGGCTGTCAGGGTGGGGACGGCGCAGCGGGACCTGTGTGCCCGAGGGTGTGGCTGCAGGTGGAGGGTGCACCCCTGAGAAGTGACTTGAGGTGAAGCCGAGGCCGGCCCACCACCAGGGAGATTGAACAGGAAGGGCCTGGGACCAGGAAGGAGCTGAGACAGAGACGGCTTTCACAGCGGGAGTCCTCGTGACCCCTGCTGAGGCTGCTACAGGGCCTCGAGGGTGTGGAGGTGGGGCGCTGTGGGCCCCTGGGGCTCGGCTTCCGCCTGCGCAAGGTTGGGGGCGGGGCTGGCAGCTCTGTCCCGTCCTGTGCGTTGCAGTGACCTGAGGGTGGACAGCCAGAAGCAGAGGCATCCGTCTGGTGGCGTTTCCGTGTCTTCCGAGATGGTTTTCCAGTTGGAAGGCGTCGAGTTGGGGGCGGATGGAAAGGTAGGAGCAGACGCCCAAACAGGCCGGTCGCCTCGTGGGGGCCTGGTGACGATGGGAGGTCGGGGCCCCCGAGGCAGGGAGGAGCTCCGGCTGCAGATCCCAGATGAGGGGCGGGGCATTCTGGAACCTGCAAGCGGGGAGCAGCGTCAGCCCTGGGCGGCGGGAGCTGCAGCAGTCAGGAGGGACCTGGCTGGACCTCTGGTCCTGGATGGGGCGGCGGGGCTAAGCCCTATGCACTGCCTGCCAGGTTGTGTCTTACGCCAAGTTCCTGTACCCCACCAACGCCCTGGTCACGCTCAAGCCGGACAGCCACGGCCCGCCACCTCAGCCCCGGCCCAGTGCCCCCCGCGCTCTGCTGGGGCCCAGATGCAAACCCATCCCGCCCAGGGCGGCGCCAGCTGGCTCGGAACTAGGTAGCCCAAGGGCCCTGACCGGGAGCAGGACAGGTGGCCCAGTGCATCCCATCCAAGCCCACAGTCCTCAGCCCAAGCCTGGGGAGCGGGTCTGCCGCAGCCTGTCAGGAGGGGGGCCCCCAGAGCGCACGCCCTGTGCTGCCCCTGAGCCCAGCCGCAGAGAACCTGCACCCACTGATGGCTCTGGGCGGGGGCCCCTCCTCATCAGGACGTCCTCCCCGACCCCGGCCCCCAAGTAGGAGGCCACACCTGGAGCCCCCGACCCCGCTCTCCTTGTCCCACAATGACGCCCTCAGCACAGCTGCTGCCTGGTACTAGGCTGGGGTTGGCCAAGCCGCTCACTGGGGCTTGTGGTGGGTCAGGGCTGCCCTCTGCTCGCAGGGGCTGACGCGGGGGATGCCCTGGAGTACAACCCCGACCTCCTGGATGACCCTCAGTGGCCCTGCGGCAAGCACAAGCGCGTCCTCATCTTCGCGTCCTACATGGTAGGGGCGCCACCCGGGGCTGGGCTGTGGGCCGGCACCGGGGGCGGGGGCAGCTATGCGCCCTGGGCCCAGCCTCACCCACGTCTTGGCACTGTTCTCGCGGGCCCGGGGCCTCACGGTTGCAGGCCCAGGTGGCGTGCAGATGCCCCTGGGGCTGCATGGGGACTGTCCTTATCCGTCGCAGACCACAGTGATAGAGTACGTGAAGCCCTCCGACCTCAAGAAGGACATGAACGAGACCTTCCGGGAGAAGTTCCCGCACATCAGGCTGACGCTGAGCAAAATTAGGAGGTGAGGAGGGCCGAGGCGGGGCATCCGCAAGCCTGCTGCCCGGCAGGGCTTCTGCAAGCTGCTGCCAGGCCGCGTCTGCGCAGAGTCCTGAGCTCGATAAAGGGACGCGCCCCTCCTCAGCCCCCTCCCGCCATCCAGCCAGGCCAGTGCCAGCAGCTCCCCTGCCGCCTCCTTGGTCAGGTGCCCTCGGTGCTTCTCATACCTGCCCACACCTGCAGGGCTCCTCCTCACTGGTGCCCACAGCCCCTGAGCCGGGACCTGTGACCGTCCCCACTCGATAGATGACGAGGTTGAGGCCCCACAGCCAGAGGTCCAGACTGCCTCAGCACGGCCGCACCTCAGGGCCTTTGCACCGACCTTCCCTCCCCACACGGCCCCCTCACTGCCACAGGAGCACGGGGACTCTGTCCTCCGGGGGGTCCCCTTGAGGACAGTTGGGTGCCGTGGGCCCAGCCGAGGGCCAAGTGGAGACCAAGACCAGCCTGCCGCCCGCCCACCAAGACGTGGGCCCTAGCGCCGGGCCACAGCCTCTGGGAGGAAATGGCGCTTTTCTGGTGGCCCAAAGGCACACCCCTCAAGCAGGGACGTGGGCGCTTCCTGGCCCCAAAGCCCTTGGCTCCCGTGTAAACCCGCAGTTTGAAACGAGAGATGCGGAACCTGTCTGAGGAGTGTGGTCTGGAGCCCGTGACAGTGTCCATGGCCTACGTGTACTTCGAGAAGCTGGTCCTGCAGGGCAAGCTCGACAAGCAGAACCGCAAGCTGTGCGCGGGCGCCTGCGTGCTGCTGGCCGCCAAGATAAGCAGCGACCTCCGCAAGAACGACGTGAAGCAGCTCATCGATGTGAGTATGCGCGTCCCTGCCCCGCCCCTCCCGGCTGCGGGGGGCGGGGCCACCGCCCACGCCCAGACCCGGCCGCCCGGCCGCCGGGACGGGAACCGGAGGAGGGGCCCCGGCTCAACCCCTCTCTCTTCTTCAACACAGAAGTTAGAAGAAAAGTTCCGGTTCAACAGACGGGATCTAATTGGGTTTGAGTTCACGGTGCTCGTGGCCCTGGAACTTGCTCTCTACCTTCCCGAGAACCAGGTGTTACCTCATTACAGACGCCTCACGCAGCAGTTCTAGCCTGGCCCGGCCCCTGTGGGCGCTCCTGGCGCGTCGTGGGCCGGCGGGCGCATTTCCAGGCACTGGGTGTGGACGCGCGGCCCCCGCCGGCTGGTGCCACTGCTCCCCCACACCCTGGCTTCTCTGGAGGGACACAGCTTCCATTCCAAAGCACACCACACCACCGCGGTATTTCGGAGAGCCCTGCTGCGTTCCTCCGTGAAGAAACTGTGGGGCTTTGTTGTTTCTTTTGTTCCTGTGCCTGGTCTGGCACCAGGATTCTATGATGCACGGTGGTGAATCCTGACTTCACAGCTTTTCTCCTCTTTGGCGTCACCCAGCCTTCTGCTACCATCGTAGCCACTGCAGTAGTGTCTCGTGGAGATCTGGGTCTCCAGACCTCACTGCACGCGCTGGATTGCTAGCGTTAACCTGTTGGGGCATTAATCTCGGCTGTTTGGGGTTTTCAGACGTGGAGACCGCACTGTGGAATCACCACTCCCCCCCTCGGCCCGGCTCCTTCCCAGCCCAGCACAGCCCCCTTGGGGGGTGTGCACCCACCTACCCACATCCACACACACAGCTCTGGCGTCAACCTAAGCCAAGGAGAGCAGACCCCTGGTTGGTTTTAGTCTCGTGTTTTTACTCTCAGACTTCTGTTCTTCCAAGGATCACATCACTGTGAAGTCCTGATGCCCTGTTGGGGGTCACACACCCCAGCAGGCCTCTGGGCACAGAACTAGCCCACCCCACGCAAGGATCCGTCTCACCGGGAAGACCCCCCCTTGCCCACGACACTGGGGACCTTCAGGATGACTGGATTGCTGGCTCTTGATCTTCCTACGCAATATTGTGGAGAAACCATGTTTACTGACGTGCAGGATTTGGTTCTTTGGGTCTTTTTTTCCTGAGGGAACAGAAACTGGTTAAACGGCGTCTGCTGAAGTTGTGACTTGAACCACACCTGAGCCTCCAGCGGGGAGACCGACGCTTCACAGCCCTGCCTCCCCGCAAGGGTCGGGCCAGCGTTCTTCCTCCCGGCAGGAAGCGGGAGCCGCCTGGGCCGGAGGAGCCGCCACACCAAGCCGACCCCAAAGGCTGGTCGTTGTCCTTCTGGGCAGGTGTGTGCCCGGCACGCCAGCTTCTCTACGCTACACGTGACCCAGTTCATCCACTTGCTGCCCCACCAGAAACACTGAAGACCGCGGGCTGGAGCTTCACGGGTCAGCTGCTCGCAGAAAGGACTGTGTTGGCTGGGCCATTAAGCTGCTTCCCTACTGCTGCCCCATAAGCCTGTCACTGGAGGGGCTCCGGGACAGCCCCACCCTGCATCCTACGCGTGTGCACTGGTGCTTTTGCAGAACAGAGGCCAGCCCTCATCAGAGCGCTCAACCACCAGCAACTTGAGACCCCAGCAGGGGTGCAGGACGGCGGCTCCCGCCCCGCTGGCTGCTGTTCCTGCTTCCTCAGTCAGTCGCTGGGGCTAAGGGAGGAGGGGGACAACTGCAGGAGGGAGCGCGAAGCCCGAGTCTGTATTCTGACCTTATTTACTGAGAAGTGCCTCCTCCCCGTCCAAGATGGCTCCCAAACCTGACGTGCACCAAGGAGGGCTTGAAGGATGAAGCTGCTAGGCCCCACGCAACTCTTCTGCAAAGTGACCTGTCCAACCAACACAGCGTCTCAAGGACACCCCTGTTACAGGCACTGCAGGGGACCGACTTACAAAATGTACGTCCTGGTTTACAATTCAGCCTTGAACACATCTTCCTGGAAATTTCTATACAGATGTTAGAATGGCTGATACAATAACTTTACCTGTTCGTGTAGTGAGAACTAGTCATTCACCAAACCCGTCTGTAACCTTCCCTTTAGTGCATTGTGTCCTTTTTAATGTCAACAGCTGTCACTGTGTGGTACTCAAATGAAGCCAGTATTTAAGGCATTAAACTTCAGCCTAAAACGTCACCCCCTAGAACCAGCCCAGACATCTGTATCCAAGGGCCTGGGGCCACTCCCTCAGTGCCTAGGAGGCGCTGTGGACTTAGATGAGCCCTTAAGTGGCCATCTGACCTCACTGTCTAGTAGTCAAGTGTCATGGATCTGTTTGCAAAAAGTAATGTATTTGTGCTTTAAGTAAAATTTGGTTCTACAACATGTGTCATAGGCTGCCCTTCAGCCGGCCAGCCCCGACCCTCCAGAGCACAGAGGAGCCCTCCCCGCCCCCCCAAAAGCACAGAAGGGAAACAACAGATAGGTTTTCACTCTTTATTTATAACACACGTTCCACATCCAGGATCCTCTCCAGTCAGAAGTTCCTGGAACAAAAGGAAGAACTTTTAAGACCTGGTCTCCAAAGACATCCTGGGCCTATGCCCAAACCCCCGTCCTCTTACTTTGAGACAATGCTGTCCGCCTTGGCCAGCCGGAGAATGGAGTCATCGGACTCGCCCTAGGGGAGAACGCACATTGGGACCAGGCGCCCTGCTGGCCAGAGGTCCAGCCACACTGCCGTCCAAACCGACCAAGGGTAGACACGCTAGCATCAGGCAGACCCCTGACGGTACAGGGGTCAGACCCCTGGGGCAGGAAGGAGCTGTGATAACTGGGAAGCTCCAAGGTCATCGCCTGCCTGTTTTCTCAGGGTGGGCCCTTTCTTGGGCCCCCGAGCACCCTTTTCCACCCCCAGGAAGGGGCTGGCAGCCAGCACAGTCCAGTGCAGTAGGCTGCAGTCTTTTCTGCCAACAAACCTGCTCAGGTTGGGAACAGGGAGGGAAATGCCACTCCGGTTCAAAGGCCCGCTGAAAGAGACCGGGAAACACTCACCATCCTGCGAATGGCCCCGCAGATGGCATAGGTTTTAAACTGGCCGTTGAACCTGCCTGTCACCTTGTCAACCTATGAATCGAGAATCGAGAATGGGGGTCACAAAGGTGCACCCAAACGCCTTCGGGTCTAAACCTGGGGTTTGGTAATCGACGTGAGGCCCGCCCAGACCTCGCCCCTCCCCGGGGGACAAGCCGTCCCGCCGCCCGGCTCACCTCGGCCACGTTCATCTGGATGGACGCGTGGTCCTTGGCGCCTATGATGCGGTTGCTGGCAGAGCTGTGGGGGGAGTGCAGTGAGCGGGGACGGGGCTCGGCGGGCGAGGGGCAGGGAGAGGGCTCGGCGGCCGGTGGCGGCGGCGGGGGATGCAGGGACCGGGGCGGAGGATGCTCACCATTTCCGCGGCACGTAAAGGTCCACGAACTCGCCGGCGTCGTTCTGCATGTTGAGGGAGCGTCTGTGGAGCCCCCCGCAGCGCCGTGAGGACAGGCCGTGTCCGCGCGCTCGGGTCAGTCGCCGCCCCCACGCCCAGGCCCCGACCCCCGCACGCCCGAGTCCGTCCCCGCCCCGCACCTAACCAGGCCCCCGCGCCGCCACTCAGCCCGGGCCCCGGCCCCGACCCCGACCCCAACCCCGACCGCAGCCGCGAGACCCACCTGGTGGCACCACAACGAGCGCGAGCGCGGAGAGGAAGGGCCTTCTCCCCGGGCAGTGCTATTAGCGGGTGGGGCGGGGCCTCGGCGAGTACTTCCGGGTCCTGCACGCCGCCGCGACTCTACGCAGAGAGCAAGGCCGGCCACTCTGACGCACTTCTGCTTCCGGCGGGTGAGAGCTTCCTGACGTCTGGCGACCGCAAGGTGGCCGCGGCCGAGCCTCGAGGACGAGTCGCCGTGCTGGGCGGGTGGCCGGCGCGGACTCGCGATGGCGCCCGCGGGCGGGTCCCCGCAGCGGTGGGCTGCGCCCAGGGCGGGCGCTTCCCGTCGCCGGGACCGCCCGGTACCCGCGGCCGCTCAGTCAGGACTGTGGACCCGGGGGGCGAGGGCGGGGGCCGGGGGCCCCGGAACGGGCCGCGCTCGTCAGCACGTGAGAGCTGCGGACCGGAGCGCTTACCCCGGAGACAAGCCGGGCATCACGAACGTGGACGCAGGAGGGGCGCCGTTGGTTCTAAGAGCGAAGAGTGGGTAGAGCCCCTGGGGTCTTGAGGGAGGAGCGGCAGGGCTGGAGTGGGGGGCGCCCTCCCAGACCGTGGAAAACAACCCCTCGGGAAACCAGTGCCTGAGCGGGGAAGGAGCTCGGCCAAGCCTCGTGGCAGAACCAGGTCGAGCGCCCCCAGCCCTTCCCTCGCCCTGCACCATCCGGCCCCTGCCCAGGACGCCTCCCCCCACATCACGCCCACTCCATCCTCCACGGAGCAGTCTCTCTTGGAGCTAAGGGTCCGTTGAGGAAGAAAATAGAAAAACTACAGGCTGCAGAGCAGACTTCCCAGGGTCCCCCGCCCTGCGTTCCTGGGGGCGTGCCCTGCAGCCTCGACTAAAACATCCTCCTGCGCTTCCTCTCGCGGAAGAGAGGGAAGGCCCTTCTTGGCTGGACTCCAGGTCCTGCGCACTTGGCCTCCACCTGCTGCCCGGGCTGAGCCTGGCCGTGGAGTCTCCGAGGTCCAAATGCCCCTTTGCTTGACACGCCCTCCCCATCCTCGCAGTCTGGGCTCCCAGCTCACTTCCCAGGGCTATGTCTGCTCACCCTGTGGTGACGTGCAAGTGCTCTCCGTCAGCTTGGCCACACGGTGCCCCGTTTGAGTCACTGCCAACTTCTGTGCGGCTCTGGGAGGGTTTAACATCTGGGCCTGGTGGGGGCTGAGGCCACCAGTTCCCTTGTACACGGAAACCAGTGTTCATGCGGGCAGTGTGTCTGCTGTTGCTTCTGCTGGGCGCCAGCAGCTGGGCATCAGGAGTGAGGTCACCGAGGCCAGCGGCCTGTAGGAAGGTCACACTCCATGTTCATGCCAGCCGTGAGAGGTGTGTGCTTTTTCCAGGACGCCCAGTACGTGCACAGACATTACGTGTTTATGTTTGTGGTTGTGATACCGAGCAGGGTTCTTGGCCTTCCCTAATCAACAGAAATTGATAAGAAGCCAGACAAGAAATTCAGGCAAGGCTTTATCGGGGCTCCTGCTGCAGCAGGGGGGAGCAGAAACAAGTAACAGTTTCCCTTGCTAGCTCCCCAGGGGAGTCGAGCTGGTTTCTTATATGGGGTGAGGACAGCGGCAGGTCCAGGGCTTGGGCCAGAGGGGTGGCTTAGGTGGTCTGCCCACCTAAGGTGGTGTGCAGGGCGCATGCGCAGGACCCTGCTTTTGCTCCATGTACCCTGTTTTTGCTCCCAGCTCTTTAAAAGTGGCAGCTGGGTTTTTGGTCTTTTTGTATCTTTCTGTCCATCATTTGCCTCCAGTGTGCATGTATGCTGCTATTTTTCATCCCATACAGTTTTTTTGTACTATGTTGTGTAGCTCAAGGAGGCATTTGTCCAGGTGCAAGCCCTGCAGCAAAGGGTCCCAGATGCCAGCCTGTCTCATTTGGGGCTCTGCACAGCTGGCCTGCCTGTCTGTGTCAGTGTGTGGGTCAGCCCATCTAGGCCTGGTCATCAAGAGATTGTCTCGGGGGCTTCCCTGGTGGCGCAGTGGTTGGGGGTCCGCCTGCCGGTGCAGGGGACGCGGGTTCATGCCCCCGTCCGGGAGGATCCCGCATGTCGTGGAGCGGCTGGGCCTGTGAGCCATGGCCGCTGGGCCTGCGCGTCTGGAGCCTGTGCACCGCGGCGCAGGGGGCCACAACAGTGAGAGGCCCGCATACCGCAAAAAAAAAAAAAAAAAAAAAAAAAACTGTCTCTGTAGCTGAGAGGCAGGAGTCGGAGACAGCTAGAGCCCCAGAGCACCTGAAAGGTGATGAGGACCGTTTAAGAAGGAAAGGACTGTCTTTTCAACAAGTGTTCTGGGAAAACTGGGTCCCCACATGCAAAAGAATGAAGCTGGACCCTTACACCAATTGCAAAAATTAACTCAAAATGGATCAAGTACATAAACACAAAACGGAAAACTATAAAACTCTTAGAAGAAAACACAGGACACAACCTTCATGATATTGGGTTTGGCAATGATTTCTTGCATATGAGACCAAAGGCACAGGCAGCAGCAACAACAACCAATTGGACTTCATGAAAAATTAAATTTCTGCATCAAAAAGACACGATTGGGGGACTTCCCTGGTGTCACAGTGGTTAAGAATCTGCCTGCCAATGCAGGGGACACGGGTTCGAGCCTTGGTCCGGGAAAATCCCACATGCCATGGAGCAGCTAAGCCCGTGAGCAGCAACTACTGAGCCCACGTGCCACACCTACTAAAGCCTGTGTGCCTAGAGCCCACGCTCCTCAACAAGAGAAGCCGCCACAGTGAGAATCCCGCACACCACAACGAAGAGTAGACCCCGCTCGCCACAACTAGAGAAAATCCCGTGCGCGGCAACAGAGACCCAATGCAGCCAAAAATAAAATAAATTCATTAAAAAAAAAGAGAGAGACACCATCAGGACTTCCCTGGCAGTCCAGTGGTTAAGACTCTGCACTTCCAATGCAGGGGGTGCAGGTTTGGGGAACTAAGATCCCACGTGCCTCGTGGCGTGGCCCCCCCCAAATTCTTTTAAATAAAATTTTCTTAAAAAGACACCATCAACAGAGTAAAAAGGCAACCCAAAGATGGGAGAAAATATTTGCAAATCATACATCTGATAAAGGATTAATATTAAGAATATAGAGCAAAATCCTAAGACTAATCAACAACAACAACAAAAACCTAATTCAAAAATGGGCAAAGGGGCTTCCCTGGTGGCGCAGTGGTTGAGAGTCCGCCTGCGGATGCTGCCGATGCAGGGGACACGGGTTCGTACCCTGGTCCGGGAGAGGCCACAACAGTGAGAGGCCCGCGTACCGCAAAAAAAAAAAAAAAAAAAATGGGCAAAGGACTCCGAAAGACATTTCACCAGAGAAGATATACAAATGGCCAATAAGAACATTTAAACATGTGCAGCATCCACTAATCATCAGGGAAATGCCAGTCAAAACTACGAGATACCACTCACACCCACTATAAAAAATAATATAAAAAAATAAATATTATAAAAATAAGTGTTGACAAGGATATAGAGAAATTGGAACCTTTGTGCATTGTTGGTAGGAATGTAAAATAGTACAGCTGCTGTGGGAAACAGTATGGTGGTTCCTCAAAAACTTAAGAACTACCATGTGATCCAGCAATTCCACTTCTGGGTCATTTACCCAAAAGTATGGAAAGAAGTGTCTTGAAGAGATATTTGCACACCCATATTCACAGCAGCATTATTCACAAGAGCCAAGAGGTGGAAGTAACCCAAGTGTCTATGGGTGGATGAACAGATTAGCAAAATGTGGGCTATGCATACAGTGGAATATTATTCATCCTTAAAAAGGAAAGAGATTGTGACACGTGTACAGGTGAACCTTGAAGATGTTCTGCAAATTAAAATAAGCCAGTCACAAAAAGACATACTGTGTAATTCCACTTATACGAGGTACCTAGAGGAGTCAAATTTAGATGGAGAGTAGAATGGTGGGAGCCAGGGGCTGGAAGATGGGAATGGGGTATTAGTGTCTAATGGGTATAAAGTTCCATTTTACAAGATGAGAAAGTTCTGGAGGTGGATGGTGGTGACAGCTGCACAACGTTATATATGTGTTTAATACCGCTGAACTGCACACTTAAAAATGATCAAGGTGTGGCTTCCCTGGTGGCGCAGTGGTTGAGAGTCCACCTGCCGATGCAGGGGACGTGGGTTCATGCCCCGGTCCAGAAGGATCCCATGTGCCGCGGAGCGGCTGGGCCCGTGAGCTATGGCCGCTGGGCCTGTGTGTCCGGAGCCTGTGCTCCGCGGCGGGAGAGGCCCACGTACTGAAAAAAAAAAAAAAGATCAAGGTAGTAAGTTCTATGTTATATGTATTTTATCACAATCAAAAAGAAAAAACGGGCTTCCCTGGGGGTGCAGTGGTTGAGAGTCCGCCTGCTGATGCAGGGGACACGGGTTCGTACCCCGGTCCGGGAAGATCCCACATGCCGCAGAGCGGCTGGGCCCGTGAGCCATGGCCGCTGAGCCTGCGCGTCCGGAGCCTGTGCTCCGCAACGGGAGAGGCCACAACAGTGAGAGGCCCGCATACCGCAAAAAAAAAAAAAAAACCATTTAAGACTATAGGTCACACACGCATGCACACACATGGGCACACACACAAGACATCACAGTCTCATCTTCCCCGAGGTGGGATCCCAAGGCCAAGATCTTCAAAAGGAAGCCCTGTGACCCTACCCTCGGGCCTGTGAAATCTGGATAAGCCCCCCCCTTTAAGAAACCCTGCTGTCTGAAGTCTCAGGTCCCACAGACAG